CTCCTTGCCTCTATGATAAGGAAATGGGAGAGTCAGCCTTTTACATGTTACAGCAGTCGATCTCAGAGTTGTGAGGCGTGAATAAGACAATGTGGGACACTGGTGGATTATAAAAATGCTGCACAAATGTGAAGAGTTTTAGGGTGGACTTCCCTCCCTGCTTATCTGTCATGTGAGGCCAGAACTGAAAACTGAAGCACGACCCCCAGGATCCCTCACCAACACCCACAGCACCCCCAGACGAGTCACAGTCAGTTACAGATGCGTGTGGTGCATATTCCTGAGGGTTATTCCCAGAAAACGGAATCCGTGGAAACTTTCATAATTGAGTTATTGACCTTTACAGCTTTTTCAAAAGAGAAAGGCCAATGAGTCACAGTTATGCTACAACTCTAGACCATCTGAGTTTCTTCAAATATGATGGCTTAAGAACTGTTTAATTCTTGGCTCTCTCTGATAAACTCAAAATTTAAAAACCTGCATTTTTTTAAGCCCTGATCTATCTCATTAATCTTCAAGTTATATTGGTTTCTGGATATATCATTTAGATAATCCGCCATCACCATGTGTGCTGTGTCCAAAAGGCCCAGTCACTCAGGGGCCCCCATTCTCACAAAGAAACCATCAGCTAACAGTCCCCTTTCCACATTTCCCTTTCTGGTTCATTGAATCATGATTCTCTCTAATAAGAGAACCTGAGAATAACATAAATGGAAAAAGACCTTAGGTATCTACTGGTCCTACCTCTGCACTTTACAGACAAGAGGATACACAACTGGCCCAGGGCCACTGTTGGGACTAGAATTTCTGGCTTCTATCTGAGCTAAACAAACAAACAACAACAAACTGAAAATAAACTCAGAGTCCAAGTTTCTGAATTAGAAATCTGGTTCTAATATTCTTTGTACTTAAATTCTTCATCTGAATGATGTAGAAAATAGTGGCAATCTTGCAGGATGCAGTTAAATGAGGTAATGTATTTGAAAATATTCACTGCAGCGAATAGGACATAGTAGATGTGTAAGAAATGTTTGATGAATCAATCACTCCTTAACTCAACCATTTCTAATAGCATTAATTCTCTCCTACCTTTCCTTCTGTTACTCATCTCTTCCTACTGTCTCCACGCTAAGGCCCTAACTGACCTGCAAAAGCAAATTATAACTGATTTCACTTCCCCATTTTCCAGCCCAAATGTATCCACACACTACAGCCCTGACAATCTTTTTAAAACTTTCTTCCCCTATTCAAAAACCCAAAAGAGGGGTCCTACTGCTTACTGGCAGAAGAACGCAGACCTCATCCTGCTTCCGCCCTAACCACCTCCACCTGGCCCCAGGAGCCTTCTCAAACCAGTCCTCCCATGGTCCCAGGGTGTGTGCTCTCTTCTCACCAGCCTGGGATCCTGGGCACACTCGTTCCCAACTGTGAGGTCAAGCTATGCCAGCCCACCCTTTCCCAGAAGCCTGCTCTGGTAAATTCAGATGAACTTTCTTCTGAGAGCCAAAGGCATTAATTACATCCTTTCTTGGATTGTTGTCTAATTGTTTCACTCATAAATGTGGAAATCCTGCTTCTCTGAACAGATTATAACTCTTTGACCAGTTTTAATAAGTCTACTTAATATTCCTTCCACAGTGCCTAACATATATTGTAGTAAACTCAAAAAAATGTAAAAAATTCTGAATAATTTCAATTCCTGTGAAAATAAATTATAGAAGATTTTTCATATAAGGCCAATTCACACGTTTAAGCATTTTCCCTGAGCAACATCCTGAATATGTCAGAAATTTATAGGCAGAGAAGATTAGCAATTGAATAATACTTTTTTATACTATAAAATAGTATTACTTCTGTAAAATAATCTATCATATATAGTATATTTGAGGTAAATTTCATTTGTCAAAATACATCAGTGATTCCTTAAATTTAAGAAAAAAATCACATCCACATGGTGAAATATCTTCTTGAATTGAAACATCTCTGTTTGCATTTGCAGATACTGAGCAGGGAATTTGCTGATTCAAGATTAAATGCAAAAGTTTCTGAGGTTGCTTTTATCCAGTTCCAAAGTTGTAGATGAGAAACCGTTCCTCATATCTCACTTTTCACAATGTTGATAGTTAGCTTTTTTTTTTTTTTTTAAGATGGCTACAGTGTTAGCCACATTCTACCTGTTTGGGGAGTGCCAGTTTACAAAAAAACAAAATGTACTCATGTCTTCCTCTGCACAACACCCTAAGGTTATTCCTGCTTCTGGAAACTTGGCTGTCATGTCAAATAAGTGGACTATTTGGTGAATGTCGTTCATAAAAAATAAAATAATAATAATCATAAAAAGTCAAACCGACTGCACTGCTGAGTCAACTGGCTGATTCCAACAGAATTTGATGCCTCACATAAACAGTGACTGAGAATTGTAGCTCATCTCTCACGGCGACCTCGTGTCCCTCTGTTCTCACTTAACTTCACATCTTGTATTGTATTTTGTAAAGTTTCTGGGAAAAAGAAAAAGTAAAAAAGCTTTTGTTTGCACCACAGACAAACCTCGATGTCAGTGTTTATGTAGTGGGACCTTATAGCAGTGGGACTTTTTCTTATTATGGTTTCTCGCCTCTAAGTTTTCCAGTGGGAACAATTGGGTATTATAGTTGTGATAGTGTTCCAAGACAAGATATACTCTGGGAAATTAGATCAGATTAGTATCCTATGCCCAAGTCAACAAAAGCTAATGGGAATCTATATTTTACCCACAGTTAGAAAAAGAGTGTAAAAAACGCTCTCTCGTGTCAACGTTAATACACGGAAAACTCTGTTCAGTAAGCTCTAGTGTTTTCATTCAAACAATTCCCTAACCTATTAAGAAAGCAGTTTTGCCAGTTTCTTTCCTTTGAAATAATCCCAACTTTGTCCTGTAGATTTTTCTGAAGATATTTGGAGATTTAATCTCAATGGTGCACAAAACAGAAGATAGAACCATTTCCTTTAGTTTAAAAAGTACCATGGAGACCATGAATTTCTCCTCCGATATGATTACATGTTGAATTTATTTTAAGTTTAACGTTGTTATGGGAATTGAATCAATACAGTGTCTGATAAAGTGCTACAAACCAATAAATATTTTTTGAATGTAGCTATTAATTGAAATGAAATAAGGCTAGATCCAAATACAGTCTTTCTTAAGAGAGTGAGTTTGGCCATCCCGGGTTACATTTCAGAACTGACTTAAATTCTTCCAAAGGCCACCATGCTCCTGGTATTAGAATCAAAGTTTTGAAATAAAAAACAGACTACATAGGTTCTCTTCCACTTTACAACAAAAAAGCAACAACTATAAGTCTGGTTAACTGTATGAGTAAGCATTTTACTTATACAGTTTAATTACATTTTTTCTAGGACATAAAGAGCGTGATAGAGTAAACTCAAAGACGTGGGACTCAAATGACAGTTGTGAAAAATCCAGATACTCTGTTTGCCTTTAAAGTTGTGTTAATTATCACACTTTAGTAAAGTATTCATTATTTAGAACTCTTTTCCCCTTCTGTTCGGCCACCTACACACCCCATTCCTCAACCACAGAAGTAACTATGTCTAAAATTGGTGCTGGTTTTGATAAGCCACGGTGATGACATCAGCCTGAGTTCTAGCTCCTGGAACGCAGAGCTGTGACCATCCTGTGACTCGTGGGCAGTTATGTCCCAACACAACTCTCCTTGTCACCACATGTCACTGATTCTGAGCCAAGACTTGTGCTCTAAATATACTGCACCAGTTAAACATAGGTATTCTGGAACATCTGCTTTCCAGAGGAGGAGAGTGGGAGGGAAAAAGGAACTATGGTGTTATTTTAAAATACAAGGGATTCAAAACCATAGGAAGTACACAACATCAATGTACTGAATACCACTGAACTGTGCACTTAGAACTATACATGGGTAAGTTCTGAAAACTGTGCCCATGGGTTTCAGAAGTTTTTCACAACTGCCTAAAAAATTTCCAGGTCCAATATATAATTTGTTATAACTCTGCCACAGAGACCAGGTGGCTCTTTCTGCAACCTATCTCCTCTTAAGCCAGGCGGCTTGGGGCCTCAATAAGCTTCTATTCATCAGAAATTAGTAAACAGCACTTACCCAGAGAAATCTCTAGCTAAAAGTACCACTGAGGAAAACCTCCAAAGTAGGATGGAAGAGTGGGGGTTAGACAAGGAGCATGTGGAAACATCACTTGCTTCCTCCCTGTGCCCTCTGTGAGGAGCTGGGAAGCACAGAACCCCCTCCCTGCTGTCTCAGAGTGAGCCCCCAGCCCCTGCCTGGTTCCCACAAAGGCAAGCAAAGGCTGGTCAGAGGGAGTTACCAGGCCTCAGGCCCTCTGACTCTTTCAAGCACTTCCCGGAGGGTACAGCACCATTCCAAAGGGCTGAGCCTGGCTGAATGGCAAGATGCGTCTTCACTCTCCTGCCGCCAGTCCAGAGTGAGCCTGCAAGGAACGCTAAGCGCGGGCTGCCCTGGGGGAGCGCGCAGCGGCTCAGAAGCTGCAAGAGGGCTGTGCCTGTCCGCGGTGGGTCGCAGGTAGAGTACTTCTGCAGACTGAAAATCGCCTCAACGTGCCAGAGGTATTTGAAATAAGGAGAAAACCCACAGCACCAGGCTACAGCCGTCATCGCCATTCTGCTTCCAATGCACCCAGGAGAAACCTCTCTCTCTGCACAAGCACTGAGATGATACCTGGGTGTCCTCTTACTCTCCGATTAGAATGTGAGCAGCCCTGTGGTCTCCACGTGTGCATAACCCCGCGCCTAACGCCTAACTTGGAAGGCCCTCAGCAAATGAGGAGCTCAACTCTGAAGATGCAATCAAGATAGCGCGGGCAGAGCGGCCTCCCCCATGCTCAGTGGTTGCAAACGCACCCCTGCAGGTGCTGCCCCTTGGAGAAGTCTCCATTGCCGACCGGCGCGCACGTCCTCCCCGACCTCCCCAGAACTCCCCAGAACTACCTACCAGCAATGGCGACCAGCAGACCGACAGCACGCACATGATCCCCATGAGCTGGATGGCCGTCTCGGTCGTGATCCGGCCCCACTGGGCGCTGGACTGCGACGCCGTGGCCTTAGCCCGGCAGCGGGACACCAGGGCCTTAATGGTGGCCAGGTTGCAGGCGAAGGTGACGGCCAGCGACGAGAGCCCCAGGAAGGCAAAGGTGGAGGCGAAGAAAAGGTTGTCCCACTTGCGCGGAGAGCTAGTTCCGTTGCCCCCTCCCCCGGTGCTAATGAAGCACCACGTCCCGGGCCACTGGATGGTGTACTGGCCCACGCCCAGCACCGGCAACAGGGCGAAGGCGAGCACGGCCAGCCACACACCGAGCAGCACGGCGCGGGTGGCGCTCGTCTTCATGTGGCTCGCGTACCAGTGCGGCGCCCGGATGGCCAGCGCCCGCTCGACGGCCATGGCGCTGGCGATGAAGAGCGAGGAGAGCCCAAAGACAGTCATAGTCAGCCCGAAGAAGGTGCATAGCCTCCCCGACGGGTCGAGGTGCTCCCAGCGCTGCTGGGACAGGTACACGACGATGACCACCGGGCTGGTGAGCAGCTGCCCGACCAGGTCGGTGAGCGCGAGCCAGCCGATGCACAGCAGGAACGACTTCTTGCGCTTGCTCTCCCGGCGCCGGTAGCTCCGCGACACGAGAAGCATGGCCAGCGCGTTGCCCACGAAGCCGGTGATCATCATGGTGATCGGGAAAACGACGGACACCGAGCTGCAATCCTCCCCGGGCCCCGGGGGGCGCGTGAGGTTGCCCTGCGTCTCGGCGGAGCGCTCGGGCGCCCACATGCCCGGGTAGGAGTGGTTGAGACGGGTGCAGAAAGGGGCGCTCCCGTGGCCCCGGGTCTCCTTCATGTTGGCTTCCAGGTGAGGAGGGGACAGCGCCCGAAGAGCAGCAGCGGGAGCTGGCAGATGGGTCGCGGGCGGCGGCGGAGGTCGGTGGCGACCCGGGCTGGGGCTGGGGCTGGGCTGCCCTCCATGATGCGGGGCGCAGCCGCCGCCTCACTTCGCTACCCTGGCGGCGGCCGCGGCGGCCCTGGGCTTTCGGGCCACACAGACAGCCGCGCCGTCGCTCCGGGAAGCCTCTAGCTCCGAGCGAGCGCGCCGAGGTGCCTGGTTCTTCTATAAGGCCGAGGGGGCGGGGCGCCCGTGGGTGTGGGCATCCGCGCCGTGGGAGGAGGATGGAGAAGCTGCTGAGCGCCTCTCTTGGCTGCTGTGTGACTGCTGCCCTGGCCGCCTGGGGCTGGGATAACCCCTCGTTGGACTCTCGAATGCCCCAGCTCCAGGCCGGACCCGACGCCCTGTCAGGCCGTCCTGCCCGGCTCCGCGCCTCCTCCTGTTCCTCTGCCAGAGGAGGGTCGTGGGGGGCGGGAGCTAAAATGTCTCACTGGACTTCTACACCCCAGGCAAGTTGCCAAGGCGCCCTCCCTCCTTCTCCATCCAGAGATGCTTATTCAGGGACCAGATCCTCCTCCTGAAGCTCCCTTGTCACGCTGGCAAGTGTAACTCACCTGTCCCTGAGCAATCGAGGCAAACCACACTCCCTTATATAGCTGAGCGTGAATTTTTCCCTTTTTACTTCGGGGCTCTGGAATGGTCATGAGCAGCCAAGTTGCTCTGTCCCCAAGGGCGCACTGAAACTATAAAACTAATAGTGCCCGGAGACTTAAGGGAATAGGTACAGGGAAACAAAATAAAATCAGATGGTCAAATCCAAAGATGAAGAAATCTCAACTACCGCCCCCCCACACACACATAAATTCTACCTCCTCCTCCTCCTCAAAAAAAAAAAAGTCAGCTAGGGCAAAAGTGGCTGGAGGCAGGTGGCAGTCACTTGCACGTCGGAGACAGTGAAGCGCACTGCTGCCAGTCTAGACAGCTGGTGTGAGAGGGCGCCACCCTCGCCCATTCTCATGGGATTAGGACTAGAAACTGCGTTTAGATGTTCTGCAGGCCTTCACGTTCAGTGGAAATGGGCATAATTGCCTAGCGACATCTTTTATTACGCCAGTATTTTGTGTTTTCACAGCATTTTCCCATTTTTTTCAGAGATCCTCCGAGGTCCCGTTGCTATTATTATTACTCCCCTCTCACCGCGAGGTAACGGAAGCTCCGTGAAGTTCAAGGATGTGCCCAAGGTCTTTTCGCAATTCTCCAGCCTCTGTCGTCTTATTTGAATCACAGTGTTTTTACATGGGTACCATAACCACTCTCAGCGGGTGAAAACGAACGGCAAGACTAGTTGTCCCCAAATCTAGGGAGAGCCTGTTCTTCTGCTTCTTCACATTGTCCAGGAAATGAAAGGATTTTAAAAATTATTTACAAATTTCATTTTCCCTCATATTTAAGAAATTAGACCTAATCGTATAGCACTCTGAAGACCATTGGGACTGACGTTCAGAGCAAGCACCATCAGCTTCTTTGCCTGTCCTAGCTTAGCTGATATCCTTTTCCGGTGTAAATGAGTGGGAGGAGATGAGAAGGGAATAGTTCCCCTGCATTCTTTCCTTCTGTGCTGTTTTCATGCTGTATGAGTTTGAAGAAATATCATTATAGGGTTATATAGTTTTTAAAGGAGAAAAAGCAAACGTAATTTAATTAAACTCCATTTTAACACCAGGCATTAATAACATCATTAATTTCATTTTGTGTTTTCCTGTCCTTTAAAAATTTTTTGCACTGTGGAATTTTATTTCTTTTTTAAAATGTCATGTCTAATGAGAACAATAGCTAGGAAGGAATAGTGAAGTGGTTTACTTTTTAAATCTTGCCCCCAAATTTTGTCTTATTAGTTTTAATTAATCTCAAATCGATAATTGGGAAAGTGGTTTTCTAAAACGTCATTTGAACACTAAAATAATATGAGATATAAGCTTTATCCAAAGCATTTGGATGAACATATATATCAAATATAATTTTTCAGCAATAAAATTCTAGTGTAATTATATATTTTATTTAAAAATTTAAGACCTTTTCATGATTCATACAGGAAAGAAAGCAAAGCTAATCTCTCTCCAGTTACATCAAAAATTATTTTTATTTATGAATATTTGACTTCTTTGAAACTTCTACCTCCCCCATTGCAGTGCACGCCGTAGTCAACTGGACTTCACAGGAGTAACAAGCATCAGGACATGTATGGAAGTATGGAAGAATTAAGGTCAGCCTCTTTACACCTCTATACCAATGCACTAAATGTGTTGCATTTCAGATCCTTGGTTTAACACTTTCCTCCTTTCAGCGTTTTGCTTCGTGCATTTCTAAGTTGTCTGCTTTGTAGCTGTTCACCTTGTAAACAAGTGATCTGGCGGATCTGAGGAGTCACACAATAGGATGCTAGCAGCTGGATTCTGGTTGGCACTTTTGGGTGTTACAGCAATAATAGTCTGAATTGTGTTGGTCTGAAACACCAGCACCCTCTAGTGACCAAAAGGCTAATAACATGCTGTGCACTATGTTAAAGAGAATTTCTATATTACAATGTGCTTTGCGTAGGGAACCTCAGATATCTTTCCTAGGGGTCTACTTATTAACACATAACTATGGTCATTTTTTTTTCCTTTGAGTGCACAAACTGGAATATCTGCTTAATCAATAGACCACTGGAAGATTAAAATTATAGAGTCACATAATTGAAAGGCCACATATCCAAATATGTTTTTTAAAAATTTAAAGTATATATCCACTCATTATATATTTTTAACTGAAATTCTCCCCTAGAAATGATTTTAATCCACAAATTTACTTGTATCCCTCCTGTATCTTACATTTTTAAATTCATAACATATATCAAAATTTAGCTAACGTTGATGAATTCATTCTATTTACTTCTATTGAATTTCTATTGAGAAATCTTAAAATAGACACAGATACAAAAACAAGATTAATAACGAGTTCCACATAATAAGGCCCTTGATTACCTTAAAATATTTGCAGTTTTTAGTCCATGGAGCCAAATGCTAATTTCAGCATATATTTTAGTCATTCATTCATTCAATATTTATTGAGCACCTACTCTATAGTAGACGCTGTACTAGTCGTTAGGGATACCAAAAAAACACAAAAGTCTCTACATTTATGGAGTTTACAGTTTAGTGCAAAACTCTTGATTTTTTAAAATCTGAAATAACAGACAAAAGAATGCTAATCTTAGTGGCTTTTGTGACTTGCCATGGAAGTAGGATCTTACATGAAACCCATTTTAAAAAACTATGTACAGTTTTCATGAAAAACTGGAAAAAAATATGTAGAAAGTATTCATATCAAATGGGATTTATCTCAGGAACTCCAGGTAGATTTAACACTTAAAAGATCAGTCAATATAATTACCATTTCAACAAAATAAAGGAGATGCTTTGAAGTCTTTGCTAAGTCAAACATCTGGGAACACTAGTCCCTTTCTATTGACTGCCTTTTCTCCAAACTTTTCTTCCTGTTGTCTTTACATGCCTAGTAATTTTTAATTGAAAACTGAACATTATAGTTAATATATTGTAGTGACTGTGGATTCCATTGTTTTCTTCTGAGATTATTGATTTGGGGGGTGCTGTTTGGCAGTTAACTTGCCTGGATTCAAACTGCCCACATTTCCTCTCCTGTGGCACACAGCTGCTATCTCTGCCCTGTTCTCGTGGTTTCTCTTGGCTGCTCTTTTAGCTTGGTTCCCTGTGGACTGATCTACCCTATACCTGCGAAATTCGCTGATCAGTCAGTGATGGGGATCACCCCTTCTGTGGTTTCCTCAATTAATAGGGATTCTCCTCTAACTGCAAGCTGCTCTGCCAGCTTTGGTTGTGCCCTGATATTTCAAGCTTGTAAAGCTTCAGCTTTCTGCCACCGGAGCTTCACACAGTGAGAAATGCACTCTTTTAAGAAAAGCCTCAAAGGCATAGATACAGTCTTGAGTAGGTCTACCTTTTAAGACTAGACTGTCCTCTGCTCTTTGCCTGCTTTTTCACCAGGCTCCAGGGGGATTCTCTCACTCATGCATAGTTTGGCTATCAAACGTATATTTGGGCAGAAGTTCTAGCACATTCTTTCTGTGGTTCTCATTGTGAGGATTTCCTATTTAAATTTGCAGTGGCTTTTCCAGCCTTGAACTCCAATCTCTGGCACTTTTTGCCAAGAAGGCTGCGATTTTTCCACTACTGTTTCCCAGGGACATAGTCATGAGGGTGGGGCATCACCTTAGTCTAAAAGGTCAGTAAGTCTTAATTCTTACTCCTTTTAGTTGCAGTTTTTTGAGATGAATCTCTTCTCTGATTTCTGTATGCTTCTGAACGCTTTCCATGAATTTAAATAGTTGTTGTTTTTAAATTGTTTTTCTCATTTTATGATTATTTTTAAATTTTTTTTAATTTTATTTTTTGTTTATTGCAGTAACATTGGTTTTTAAATTTTTAACTAGATTTTATAATCGTTATCTGCAGAGCAGTGTGATATTGGCATAAAGACAGACATACAGTTTAATCCAACAGTATACTCTATCTATCTATCTATCTACAGATCTACATGTAGGTAGATACATATAGATAGAGATCTACAAATACACAGATATAGATATACAGATATATAGATACAAAGATACGTATACACACACATCCATCCATCCATCCATACAAATTCAATTAATTTTTGGCAAAGGTGTTAAGGTAATTTAATAGAGAAAAGGCTTTTCAACAAATAACTGGAAAAACCAGATACCTGTATGTGAATAAAAACAGACATAGACCTTATCTCACACCACACACAAAATGGATCATAGATTAAGTACAATTACATTTAACTTAAAACTATAAATCTTCTAGATTAAAATAGGAGAAAAATCCTTGTAACTTCTTCACCCTCCCATCACTACCAGAAGTACTCCTGCAACTTGTTTTTTGTCTTTTGCTTTTAACATTTAACATGTCATCATTTCTTTTTATGAGTATGCATGGAAATTCTTCATTCTTCTTAAATACCAAGAATAATCCAACAAATTCTTTCTGAATGTTTGGATTATTTATAATTTTTGCTATAGAAAGCAATGGTATAATAACATTCTTGAATACACTGGAGTGTATATTTGTGGGACTAATTTTTACATTATAAATCT